CCACTTCTTTTCTAGTTGAAACGATAGTCAAGTTATGGAGAGTGAAAGTGAAGAGAGTGAGAGTGGAGGTGAGAGTGAAAACTCCCATTTTCTAGCTTTACGAACAACTCAGCGGTGACCTTTAAAAAACCAGTTTGTAGAGAATTTAAAGGGGAATGTAATGATGCAAACCACTTCTTTCTAGTTGAAATGATAGTCAAGTTATAGAGAGTGTAAGTAGAGTGAGAGTGGAGTAAGAGTGAAAATCCCATTTTCTAGCCTTATAAACAACTCAGCGGTGACTTTTAAAAAACCAGTTTGTAAAGAATTTAAAGAGGAATTTAATAATGCAAACCACTTCTTTCTAGTTGAAACGATAGTCAAGTTATGGAGAGTGTAAGTGAGAGAGTGAGAGTGGAGTGAGAGAGTGAAAATCCCATTTTCTAGCCTTACGAACAACTCGAAGGTGACTTTTAAAAAACCAGTTTGTAGATAATTTAAAGGGAAATGTAATGATGCAAACCACTTTTTTCTAGTTGAAAACGATAGTCAAGTTATGGAGAGTTTAAGTGAGAGAGTGAGATTGGAGGTGAGAGTGAAAATACCATTTTCTAGCCTTACGAACAACTCGGAGGTGACTTTTAAAAAACCAGTTTGTACGGGAATTTAAAGGGAATGTAATGATGCAAACCACTTCTTTCTAGTTGAAACGATAGTCAAGTTATTGAGAGTGTAAGTGAGGAGAGTGAGAGTGAGAATCCCATTTTCTAGCCATTACGAACAACTCAGCGGTGACTTTTAAAAAACCAGTTTGTAGAGAATTTAAAGAAGAATTTAATGATGCAAACCACTTCCTTCCTAGTTGAAAACGATAGTCAAGTTATAGAGAGTGTAAGTGGAGAGTGAGAGTGGAGTAAGAGTGAAAATCCCATTTTCTAGCCTTACAAACAACTCGAAGGTGACTTTTAAAAAACCAGTTTGTAGATAATTTAAAGGGAAATGTAATGATGCAAACCACTTTTTTCTAGTTGAAACGATAGTCAAGTTATGGAGAGTTTAAGTGAGAGAGTGAGATTGGAGTGAGAGTGAAAATACCATTTTCTAGCCTTACGAACAACTCGGAGGTGACTTTTAAAAAACCAGTTTTGTACGGAATTTAAAGGGGAATGTAATGATGCAAACCACTTTTTTCTAGTTGAAACGATAGTCAAGTTATGGAGAGTTTAAGTGAGAGAGTGAGATTGGAGTGAGAGTGAAAATACCATTTTCTAGCCTTACGAACAACTCGGAGGTGACTTTTAAAAAACCAGTTTGTACGGAATTTAAAGGGGAATGTAATGATGCAAACCACTTTTTTCTAGTTGAAACGATAGTCAAGTTATGGAGAGTTTAAGTGAGAGAGTGAGATTGGAGTGAGAGTGAAAAATACATTTTCTAGCCTTACGAACAACTCGGAGGTGACTTTTAAAAAACCAGTTTGTAGAAGAATTTAAAGGGGAATGTAATGATGCAAACCACTTCTTTCTAGTTGAAACGATAGTCAAGTTATGGAGAGTGTAAGTGTAAGAGTGTAAGATTTTAGTTCATAGATAAATAGATAGTATTTTCATTTACAAAAGAGTGACAGTTGCAAATAAAGTTGATTATTATATTATTATTATTTTAGCAAATTTTTGACTTAGTGCCTTTTGATTGTAGGCCCACAAATTATTTAATACATATATTTAGTATGGATGGACAACAAATAATCTTTTTTTACTTTTTATAATCTTTAATCTTTTCTACTAAATTATTTTTATTTATAAATTTTTCTATAAATTCTTACATTGTTTCAAATTCACTATAACAAATTTTTAAATAAAAAGTTTTATATGAAAACGAATATTAAAACTTGATTACATTTAATTGCTTGTTTTAGGTCTGTTCAAAATGAGGCTTTACACAATGCATAAAAGAGGAGTTTGTTATGGTTTTTATCACCTTCTTTACTTGTTTTGGATTAGGAATATTTGTCGGAATTGCAAGGTAAGTAATCATTTTAAACAAGACTATGGTTTTTTGATAGTTAATTTGCTCACACCTATTATATTACTTGTCTTTTCAACAATATCGTTAACAGAAAACGAAAGAATTTCCAGTCTTAGACAATTATAAACATTGCTTACAATTATTTTTTCGTTAACTGACAACGCACACTATCTTATCTTTATACCAAGCCTTAGGTAGGTAACTATCTTATAATCCCCACCTCTCTTGTTATCATTTTGGTTTTTCCATGGCATTAGTAATCTCCAAGAAGTTGATAACG